GAGTGCAATGCGCACCACCCGAAGGATGGACATATTTGAAACTCGGACTTGGCGGGGGGCAAGGGCAACATACGTAACCTAAACATCTGTACCCCCATAATATGCTGAAATAAAAAAAATTCATTGTGTTAAATCCACATAATAGTACATTATAAAGGTTTTTAAAACATTGAAGTAGATGGATACATATTTGCTAATATATATTTTAGGTGAAAAAAAGCAAGTGGTAAAAACAGTATGAATAAGTTGATACCGTTTTTATGAAACAAAAACACATATTAGTATACACATAGGAAAAGAATCTAAATAAATATACATATCAGACTGTTAAACGTGGTGATTTCTTGGGAGGGACATTACAGGGACCTTTTCTGTACTGTTGAAATTTGAGAAGCAAGCATTCATTTTATAAGGAGAAAATAAATAAATGTTTGTCTCAATCTGTTCTACTTTGGATAAACAAAGTGTGGGGGGGGCTTTTTTTTCACTTGCATACCATTTTTCCATAACTCATTTCACACATATATTACTGGTCCATAATCTAATAAAAGTTGTCAAAATTCTATTAAGGAGTGATTAAGAAGACAACTCACCATTAAGACTCCAAAATGGGTGAGGTGGTCACACTGACAGATTGTGTAATTTACATTTGTTTCCTTTACTTCACAGCCTGATGAATTCCATCCACCTAGCCCATCTGCAGAAGACAGAAGGAAATTTTAAAACAATTTTGTTTTTCTCAGAAATGTTTAATTTTTCATTGTATACACCATTCAAATGTGTGTTATAATTAGCATTGTTTGTTAAGATAGCAAGATAGAAATATAATTGAACACTGAAATTAAATTAAGTCTAATAGGCTAAATTGACTTTTGGGGGACTTCATAAATGACATAACTTCTTTGGCTCTCACTTTTCCTGTTCTTGTACTATACCTCTACAGATGAGGACAGACTCTAATCATGAACAACAGTCCTGCCACCATGCTGGAGTGACAGAGTAAGGACTGCTTTTTGTTTCTTTAAATAGTCAACTAATAGGGAATAGGCAGATTTAGAATTTTTTTGAAGGACACGGACCTGAGGAATATAGGCTGACACTTGAGCCTACTTGGAAAGACTGGAATAGACATCTGAAACAACAGGTTCAACCCAGAATTCAAATAGTCTCAAGTGCTTTGCGCCTGAGCCAGGTCACGATCTGGAGCTCCTTAGAGCCAATTAGAGCCTCTGGTCTACTTGACATCTGCCTAGTTTCTCCTGAGCATACTCAGGGTTCCAGAACCAACATTCATACATTCATAACCTATAGATCTTGGGTACTAGACCAGATTTAGAGTAGAACTTCCAGGGTGGCACTAGACCAGAGGGGTTATCTCAGGGCAGGCAGCTAAGTATGGTCAAAATTTGTCCATCTGGGATAATGCCATAAATTCAAGAGGTTCTGAACACATTGGGCAAAGGGGCAAGGGTGAATTGTGACCTGGAGAAGCCCAGCAGTTTGCATTAATAAACACGGAGATCAACGTATTGAGGCTACGGGGGACAAAGCTCATCACTTTACAAGATTGTTTTCATGGGAGACTTGGGGGCGGGGCAGCGGACCAGGAAAAGACAATGTTATCTCTGTTTGTCAGAAAGAAGTGGTATTCCTACACTCCGGGGAGTTTAATGAGAAAAAAATCTCCCTTTTCTCCCAGAATTCCAAAGATATTGGAAAAGTGAAAATTCCTAGGCAGAGCTTCCACGGGTAGAAGGACTCCTCACAGAGCCACCCCTGACATTCCAGGGGAAATCCATTCTGCATGGGAATTCTCTGAGATTTGGAGATATCCCTGGAGATTCCAGTAAAGATGGCAAGCCTAAGAGGAACCTATTCAGCAATAGCCATCCCCGACCTCTTCTCTTACTGTCTCTCCCCTAAGACTCACAGTTATCTAAGCAAGAAGGGCCTTTAGAGACCAACCAAGAAGTCTCCTCTCCTCAATGAAAAGATTTAAAAATTGGGGCCCAGAGAGGGTAATTGGCCTACTCAAGGTCACACAGTTAGTCTAGAAGAGGTAAAGAGAAAAAGGGGAAGGAGATAGTAGACTTTGCAAATCCCTGTGGGAAAGCACAGATGAAGAGCCAGCTGTTCATTCCTCAACTTTCTTCAAGCAGCTCAAGGCTACTCTGCACTGGGCCTTCCAGACTTCTTTCTTCCAACTTTGCTTACCCCAGAGTTGTGTGATTTTTCTGATTTCCCAAATAAATGTCTTATTAAAAAGGAAGGATTTTTTTTAATTCCTGTGCCCTAGTTTGATATAAAAATCATATTCTATATCTTGGTCATTCAGAGTACTCTTTAGGGTCTGATAAGACAGTGGCCTTGTACAACTTTCTCCCACCTAACTGTCAAATGGGAAAATGGTCTGGGACAAAGTCAAGCCTGCTAAGAAAAATACTTACTATTATTCTCAAAATCCCAAAAGGCACAATGAACTTGATGATAATTCTGGAGAAAAAGAAATTAGAGTAAACAGCTTTTCTTGTGATAGTTACCACACTGTGACAAATACACACAAGTGTTTTCTTCTCCATATTTTTTCAAACAGTACACACACACACATACACACACACATACTTGCACACACACACACACACACACACACACACAGACTTGGACCATTTGTGAATTGGTTTTAAGATTCGCTCCATCTAATTCTGGATTGACAAGTGAGAAAACAGCATGTCACTGCATGGTGATCTGGTATGTGTCCTTTAAAATATCTGGTAGCATTGGAATTTGCCATGCCTTCCTGGTACAAGGTCCAGGAAGAGGCTGTGCATAGTCAGTATAAGACTGATATGTGGTAGGTGTTCCTTATGGACCTCTGGCATTTGGGGCTCACAGCTGAGATCAAGCCTTATGAAAACAAGGCTGAGCTGCCTCCTCATTAAGTCTATTGAGTGTTCCTAAGGCCTCGCCAGCTCTCATAATCTCCAAGAAGCTAGAGGCAAGGAGCAATTAGTTATTAGGGAAGATTGAAGAGCTGTAGCCCCAGCCTGAATTGTGAGCTCTTACCTACCATGTCTCATTTGATATCTGTTTTTTAAATTCCCTCTCCCTCTCCTTCTTGTCTCCTTCCCTTCTAGAACCAAGACCAGTGAAAAATATGCTGAACCATATCATCTTATATTGAGAACTAAGAAAGCCATTGAGATGTTACACTGGACATACAATAACATCAAAGAATGGAATTCATTCTTATATGAAGGCTAAATTTGATTATTTAGTAATATATACCTTATGTTATGCCATACGACTATGGTTTTATTCCTTTGGTGATAATTAATACACATTTAATGTTCTTTAAATTCAAAGAATACAAATGTTCAATTGTTTTTGAATGAAGTTGTTTGCCTCATTCAAAAATAAATGGAATTAAATGTCATTTAGTATGATGGGACAACCAAAAAATCCACCTGTCCCCAGTCACTCTTCTACCAGTCTGTCACAGTGCTAGAATGCTCACCATTCACTACCCCTTTAGGATAAGGCATTATTTCTAGAAGGTTCCAATTACAACACACCTCTGCTACCTGAAATGGAACATTCTTCATTAAGCCTTAGAATCACATCTGTTAATTAGCCAATTATTTTTAATAGAAAAATCATGGAGGGGTCCTGAGGCCATTTTACTCTGCAATGAAAATAGACATGTTACCTGGTTTCCTTCAATATGCTGCAGAGTGATGACCACAGGGTCAGCCAAGTTTTGAATGGACATATCTGAAACGCTGGCACTCACAACATATGTGGTTAATGCTTTAGTGAACTTTTTGGTCTGTAAATGAAACATAGAGAAGAGGAGTTCATGTTCTAAATTCCTAATTTCCATATTAATAATCAACCTAGAATTGTGAAGTGCTACACACAGTATCAGGTACACAAATGTGGAAAATAAATTGCAAGCTAAGAATATATTTTCTTTCTTCTTCTTTTTTTCTCGTTTTTTATTGAGACAGAGTCTCACTCTGTTGCCCCAGGTAGAATGCAGTGGCCTGATCATAGCTCACAGCAACCTCAAACTCCTGGGCTCAAGCAATCCTGCTGCCTCAGCCTCCTGAGAAGCTGGGACTACAGGCATGCACCATGACAACCACCTAATTTTTCTATTTTTAGTAGAGACAGGGTCTCGCTCTTGCTCAGGCTGGTCTCGAACTCCTGAGCTCAAGCAATCCTCCCGCCTCGGCCTCCCAGAATGCTAGGATTACAGGCTTGAGTCACTGCACCTGGCCTAAGAATACATTTTCGGCGGTCATTCAGCTCGTCTCTTGTCTTCACACAAGGTCTCCATTATACCAAGCTAGAACAATTCATTAATCCATCCATGCATTCAAATATCTATCCAACAAGCATTGGTTTTGCACCCACTACTCTGTATTACACTAGCAACAAAATGAAACTATTCCCTACTTTGATAACTCCCTGGACCCTGACATTTCACAACTTATCCCAGTTCTAATCCTCAACCATACTTACTTACTTTTAAGGAGCTCCTCTTTATAAGGATCCTAAATCTATCATGAATAAGTTATAAACCACTTTCTGCTCTATCCTCACTGGAGATAGAAGCAATTGATCAACATCCAGCTTGAAAAAGTGTCTGAGGACAATCATCTCCCGCCTAGAGGACCGTGAGCTCTGAGGCCAGAGCCCAGGCATTACATGTTCTGGCATTCCCCACACAGCCTAGCACACAGCTGGTATTTTATCTTGTGCCCACTGTAAGCCAGTTACTTTGGTAAGTGCTTTTCACACACATACTATCTTCAGTCCTCACTGAAATCATATAAGCATTTTTCAGATAAACTGAGGCTTGAAAAGGCTCAATGTCCACATGGACAAAGGTCACACAGCTAGCGAATAACAGTGCACAGTTGCTTAATAAATCTTGGTTTAAAGGCAACAAACTAGAATGTACCTCTCGAGACATGGGGCTTGCTAAATAACAGTGCCAAAGTACCCCAGGCCAAGGCTCCAGGAAGCAAGCTAGCTGAGAGGCTGCCTCTTGCAGGGCACACATGCAAAAACCAGAGATAGAGCTGGTGGTGCCAGATAGGAGGGAAAGGAAGAAAATCCTCTGAGGACTTGTCAAAAAAGCCTAGAGGAAGTGAGCCCAGATGATGTTCCTTGGAGAGCCTGCCAGGCCACTTTTAGAAGATGCCAGGGCTTCTTGTTTCTGAAGAAATGGTACACAGTCCTCACTCCCTACCCCACCCGAGCCCTACAGCCACTGATACCTGGGTAATTATGAATGTGGCCCGGGGCTCCACCAGGAAGCTACTCACTTCCTTTTCCTGACCTGTTCTCTTCATCCAAAGCCAGCTTGAGGGGGCATTGCTCCCTTTCCAGCAGAATTTGCCTCAGACAACCTGATGTACAGGTGGGTCAGCAGCAAAATATAGTGGAAAGGGCCCTACTGACACTTGAAAGGCCAAGTGCTAGCCAGAGCTCTCTTGTGCCTCTCAAGTCCCTCCGCCTTCTGGGCTATTGGTGACATGAGGAAAGGGGGTGGACTAAGTGATATCTAATGACCCTCCCAAGTTAGTCTAAGAGACACAATTTTCTGTAATGAAAAGGCCAAAAGATGAGACATACACAATGACCCAGACTTAATTAACCTGTCCTCTGGCTTCATTTCTGTTACCCACGATACGGTGGCCATGCTGGGAAAGGAACTAAACCATTCCTCACCGCCCCCCACCCTTTGCACTTTAGTGTCAAGTTGTACCTGTTATACCTCTGAACCTGTTCCCTCTGCCCAAAACCCTCCTCCCTCCTTCTCTTCATCCTCTTTCATCTTCTAGCTCCTATTCAACTCTCAGGGCTTGGCCAAGACCTTTCTTACACTGGGTCTTTCCTGATCTGCACACAAGGGTAGGTGCCCTCTTCTGTGCTCCCAGAGCTCTCGTGCCATATTGTGCCTGCCTAGTCCTCAGTCCCTGTCCCTCTCCTTGAGAACTGCAGCTAGTGGAGGAGCGGAGGAGGAGGTATATGTTGTCCAACAGTGGTGTCTTATCAACAATTTCTAAGATAATATGTTATAGTGACTGTTAAGATTTTTATCAAAAGATGTTAGAGGAAGCAGTGAAAGCAAGGCTGTGAGACTCAGGGACTCAACTTCATGCGAGCTCTGATTGCTATCTTCCCAACAGCTAGATGAGACAGAGTGGCCTGAAGGAATGAGCCTTTTGTTAGGCAGAGACCTAAGATAGGATAGTAAAAATAATAGCAGTGCAAACACTTACCCGTGGTGCTTTATTACATGCCAAGCACTATTGTAAGTACTTTAAATATACTAACTTCTTTAATCCTTCAATAGTTCTATTAGATGCTATTATTACCCTGCGTTACAGAGGAGGAAACTAAGTCACATGGAGGTTGGGTAACTTGCCCCAGGTCACAAAGGTAGAAAATGGCATAGCCAGCTTTAAATTCAGCCAACCTAACCCTGAGTCCATGCGCTTCAGCATCACATCATACCACCTCTGTTTCATAGCAGGTGCGGACTGGAGCCCTCGGAGAAGGTTCTGTGGAGGAGGTGGGAAGTAGTAACATATGCCTGCTGGCAGATGTCCTACTGGACATCGCCCAGCTTCAAATAAATTGGCCCAAAAAAGTGGACATGTTGGCTTTGAGGAACTAGGGGAGATTTGAGAAGAAAGCACTGACAAGCTGAAACTGCATTTCATCAGGAGAACTTGCTGTTCTTTTATGGCTTTGAAACATCTTGAGGCCTCTGTTTGGTCACCAAATAATGCTTAAGGTCCCCTCCAAAGCTGAGGAGCTGTGAAAATTAAAAACTGCAGAACATCATTAAAGTAGATGTTGATTCATGTTAAGGGCCAGGGGTTGTGCTGGAAGACTTGTGAAAGCAATCACAGAGAAGATTCTAAAATAAATAGAACATCAAGAAAATAGCAAGAGTTCATAATTACAATGAGTCACCATGTGTCAGCTTATCACAGTTACCAGAGGCAAGAACTTACCTTAAAGAGTGAAGTTTTGCCAAAGAAATTAAACAAGATGGTCTGTAAGTTGTTCAGAAGAAGTCTCTTGGTCAGTGATTTAGGCAAATATATGGAAGCCAAAGTCCTCCCCAGAGGGATATCACCTAGGTGTATCTGCCAAGAAAAGGCAGAAAATAAAAACTGGAGTCTTTAGTCATCAGAGTGATGTCCTGTCCACCTCTCACTTCAGCCCAACCCCAGAGTATTATGCAGAGGGCTGAAGGGTGGAAACTAGTTCCATAAGGTATAATACACCTTTTGTATACACACACAGACACACACACACTCACTCAGAATCACAGGCCAAAACATGATCCTTGTACACATAGACACAGACACCCCCAACACTTTTCCCTTTCTAAGCATATCCCTGAGGTTCTCTCCCTTTAATCTGTTTCCACCAGAACAGTAATAGAGGTGGGAAGGGCAATAACAAGTTCAGCCATTTGCCTGATTCTCAGAAATAAAGGCCAGTATTGGAACTCAGGCCACCTTTCCCCATATGGTGAAAGAGGCAAAAACAAAATAAAACAACAACAAAAAGCACAATACAATGGCATTAGGCACTTGCTCCATAGTTTATTGAGCAATGCTTTTATTAAAAAGGAGGGCAGGGAAGTGAGGCATTAGCCCTTGGGAATTCTGCTAGAGACCCACTGCTATGGTTTGAATGTGTCCCCCAAAAAACATGTGTTGGAAACATAATCCTCAATGCAACAGTGTTGGGAGATGGGGGTCTAATAGGAGGTATTTGGGTAACAATGGCTTCACACTCATGAATGGATTAATGCCAAATTATAAAAGGACTTGAGGCTGCAAGTTCAGTCTCTTGCTCTCTCTCACCCTCTCTTGGCCTTTCCGCCATGGCATGATGCAGTAAGAAGGCCCTCACCAGATGCTGACCCCAGGATCTTAGACTTCCCGGCCTCCAGAACTACAAGCCAATAAATTTCTGTTCATTATAAATTACCCAGTCTGTGACATTATTTTATAGCAGCACAAAATGGACCAAGACACCTAGTATCAGAAGTATTCGCTGATTTGACTGGTAATACTATTTGACAAGTACTAGAATATTTTTGAGAGTGAAAGGGGGCTTTACTGACAATTACACTATGACCAGAGTCATAAACCTGGACTCTCCCAGACAAAACAGGGCACATGGACCCAATTACCTGCATTTTCTCATTTAATCTCTCTATGGACCCTGAGAAGTACATCGTATTATGACATCAGGAAATAAAGACTTAGAGAGATTAAGTGACTTGCCTAAGATGACACATCTTGGATGTGGTTGAACAAAGATGTGTGTGATTTTGGGCCCACATTTTTCCTATTATCCATGCTGACTCTCAAGTTGCAATCATCTAGTTTGGTTTATAATGGGGAAGTGAAAGTTTATATTTCTAAAAATGACCTGTAGACCCAAAAGCCATTATGGATCTTCCCTTGGCACAAATGAACTCTGCTAGGGAAATCAGGTACCATAGAGAGGCCATGATTTAGCTTCAACACGTAAGCAGTTTGGTATCAAGAATGCGATTGGAGTTGGTTTGTTTGTTTCTCCACCAAGATTTATAATAGAAAACACCATATGTAAACAAAATACATTGGGAAGTCAACACCTATTTCAGTATGGCTAAGCAGCTCTTAATAAACTCAATCCTCTTTCACATAACAATGACTTGGAGGCATTGGAAAATGAACAAAAGCAGGCAAATTCTGGAGAAGAGTAGGCACTTGGAAAAGGTAACATCACAAGACGAGTTACCTGCTTTTTCAGCTTGTAGCCTGATGGCAGGCTGAAACTAATGCTGCGAAGGACACCTAAAACTCAGATGGAAAACCTGCAGTCTTTCTGGAATGAAGAACCAGAAAAAAAGATCAGGGCAACCACAGCCACTGGAATGTTGGGAGTGTGGAACATCTGAAGTGGAGAGAGCAGAGAAGGGGAGCTGACATTCTGAGTATAAATTCTGCCCAAATATCTGCTGACCTCTGAACAACAATATGTAAAGAACAGACTCCAACTAAGGATAAAGGAACATAACTGAGATTTGAACTGCCAACCAAGAGATGGAGTTTAGAGTTTATTCCAACCAAGTTAATTGCCTGATATGACGAAAATCAATAGCCTTCTGAGGAATATAGTAGAATCTAGAGTGTTTACAATATAACATTCACAATTTCCAGGACATAATCCAAAATTACTCGACATGTGAAGAAAGAAAAATTGTGGCCCATTTTCAAGTAAAAAGACAATCAATGGAGATTAACCTTGAGATGACTCAGATATTAGAATTAGCAGACAAGGATTTTAAAGCAGCTAATACAACTATGATCAGGTATCAAGAAAGTATGCTTGCAATTAATGTAAAGGGAGGAAATGGTAGTAGAGAAACAGAAACAAGCAAAACAAAAATTCTAGAATTTTGAATATAATATTGGAATTTTAAAAAAATCAATTTTATTGTGCATACTTAAGGTATATAAAGTGATGTTATAGGATACATATAGATTGTAAAATGTTAACTATAGTGAAGCAAATTAACATATCCATCATCTCACATAGTTACCTATTTTTTTTGTTTTTGTGGCAAAAGCAGCTAAAATCTACTCATTTAACATGAATTCCAAATACAGCACAATTTTAAAAATTGCACAGGATGAGTTCAATAGTAACATGAAGATGACAGATGTTTGCAAAGTTAAAGATAGATCAATAGAAACTATCCCATGAGAAAAATGGATAGTGAGGTGAATACAAGTATGAACAGCATGAACAGTCTCAGGGACCTGTGGGGCAGTATCAAAAGGTCTTACATACATGTAATTGCAGTCTCAATAAAAGGAGAGAGAGAATGGTGAGGAAACAGTGTCCGAAGAAATAATGGGGAAATTTCCCCAAATTTGGTGAAAAATATAAATTTACATATTCAAGAATCTCAGCAAACTCCAAGAAGGATAAGTACAAAGAAAAAGATGCCTAGGCACATAATAGTCAAACCGCAGAAAATCAAAGAAAATATTAAAAGCAGCCAGAAAAAAATGATACATTACATATTATACACAGAGAAACAAAACTTCAAATGACTA